TTCCTTGTAAGGTTTTAATGAGGCATATTCTTAATATAATGGATATTCAAGGGGAAGGGTTATGAATATTTTGTGAATATTCATTTATATTATCTATATCTAAATTTGATGTGAATCAGATTAGATTAGAATATAATCTATCTAATTTCTAAGTGTTATCTTTATCTTGTAAAGGAGTTATTTGCCTCTAAATAGGCCCCCTTAATTCATTTGTATACACAGACTTCAATAAGATTTCTTCTCTCCCTTAAGTACTTTCTTTCTTCTCTTTAAATATTCTTTCAAGTTATTTTGTTTGTTCTTATAAAGTTATTATTTTTCATAACAATAAAATATTTATTAACAATTTTTAAAATTTTATTTGAGTTTTTATATCAAATTCAAGCTCAAGTTCAAATTGAGTTTTGAAATTTTTTTATAAATTAATAATAATGGAGTCTAATTAAGTTGAACCCAAATAGCTTAATTATATTTCTACTTGATTTTGAGCATAAAAATGTAAAGCTCAACCGAGCTTAGTCAAGTTGAGCTCAAGTTTGAAACTGGATCAACTCGGCTCGACTTGTCTCGACTCGATTATATCCTTAATCATGTGTTAGACACGTGTTACAAGTTGGTACCTAACGTTAGACTAAAAAATATTAATACAAAAAATCATTTTGTTACACCATCAAAAGTATAAAGACCAACAAGATACTTTTCAAATTACAGAGACCAAAAGGATATTAAACTCAAAGTTCAGGGACTACAGAAGTAATTTATACATAATATTTTCAAAGATACCTAAATTGAAAAAAGAAAAGGTCCTACATTTTTCTGGGTTAATTTATTTATCAAGTACAGGCGAGAATCTTCTACTATAATTACCCATTTGCCCTTTAATCTTTATTTTATTGTTTGCCCTTACATCTTGACAATGTGTATAAATTGACCCCCGCACAGTCGTTTGCTCTCCATGTTTCTGGCCATCCTTGCCAACTCTCTAGAAAGTCAAAAAAAAAATGTCTTCCAAGGTCAGCGCCTTTTGCATGATCGTGTCCCTTCTCTTCTTCACATTATCTTGTGCCTCTGCCGCCCGCCCCGAACCTGCTGCATATTCAGATCATGCTACTCCAATCAAAACTCAACATCTGGTACGTATGGAACTTCCTTTGCTTTGAAACAGGATTTCCTCTCCTTATTCTGTTTATATTGATCATTAACAAGCTGATGTTTGGAATGAGTACCCGTTAAGAGGGTGGGTCTTCTGTAAGTTTAATTCTTTTTCTGATGATTTGTTTGTGAACTTTTCAGGATGTTGAAGCAGAGAAGGTTCAGGTGGACGACAGCTGCGAGGGAATTGAGGAAGAAGAGTGCTTGATGAGGAGAACACTTGCAGCTCACATTGATTACATCTACACCCAGAAGACCAAGCCTTGACCTGTCGATTTTGTCATACATAGTTACTTTCTTATAGTTTATTCATAAATTTGTGTCTTCATATGAGGTTCTTTTATCAGGTTCAGATAGTTTTTCAACTTCAGAGAGGTTTTGTGGATGAATACCGTTTTGATTCTTCTATTCATGTAGGAGAATTTTTCTGGTTGTTTAAACCAGTGTAATATATGGCATAGATACTAGTGAAATTTCTATTATATGTTTCAATAATTTCATTTCCAAACATTGCCAGAGGTTTGCGCATCAGTTTAATATTCAATATATGGCATAGTGGGTGTGCTAAATTATGCTAAATTAATATAAATTAAAAAGTAGAGGGCAAAAGAAGTAAATAAGGGATATCAAAGGAAATTAACCATATCTTTTGTCTGAAGAGATCCAAGTCATAACACACTTATCTACCATAATCAAAGACTACATGAATATTAAACATTAGAGAAAAGGAATAATTTATACTATGAAGCATTCATTGTTGTTCGGACAATCCTTCTTGCAGATTCTTTATGCATTCCTGCTCTAATTGGACTAAGGTTTTCTCTTGATGAAATTAATCAGATTAGTAAATTGAAAGCTTATAGGTTTTGTGCATATAATAGCTAATAGCATAATGGCTGAAATGCATCTTCATGGAACGGTGAAAGTGAAGCCAATCCTTCTCTACTTAGCATAAAAAATTGTTACTTGTCAATGAGCAAGACACGTAAAATATTGAAAAAGGTTTCTTGGTTCACGGATGTGTAAGCATTATCTTTCTTATTCCAATGTCCCATTGATGGTAACATCTTCTAGACTTCCAACTGTTTTACCAGGGAAAATGTTTTCTTAAGAAAAAGAAAGAAAGAAAGAAAGAAATGGCTGACTTTTCCATTTTCACATTGAATCCCTTTGTTGTTTTCTTCATCTAGGTTCACCTATTACACTTGATTCATTCTTCTCCGCAATTTTATTGTCGTCTTTCATTGATCCCATTTTCCAAAACATTGTTCATGTATAAAGAATCAAAGGCTTCCTCAATAATGTGTGCATAAAATCCGGTAAAAAAATAATGAAAAAGAGGGATAAAACCTGGTCTAGAACCAATACATTAATTCACATTGTTAACATTGCTAAATTCTTCATTATTTGCCGAAAAAAACAAGGATGAAATAATGAACCAGGCAATGTAAAATTATAATTGGCAAGCAGCATTAATGAAATGTTATCAAGGATTAAGACCCATTTGTCTTTTAGTTTTGGTGCAGGACATTATCTTTGCAATAATTAAATTTTTCATGATTCAAAGCACAGCAATATGGCTTCGAAGGGCTCCACAAAACCTGAGACTGTTTCTGTATATTTATTATCACTAAGTGTGAAGGCACGGATGACCGTTGCGGTTAAATCTTCTTTCATTGATCAAATTAAGCCAATTATAAATGCACTTGATGTTTGGGACGGGGTCCTTGCATTCACATGCCGGCCCTTGTGTCTTGGTTCTCTCTCTTTTTGGGTTGAAAATGATAGCAGGTGTGATATCAATGGAGATTCCTGCCATCCAACTGAGACTTTGCTGCTCCAACCATAGCCACAAGTGCTTTCAAAACTTTCTATGGCAATTCACATAGCGAAATTAATGTGGAATTGGGACATGACATGATAATGCGGCTGTTGGTTTCTAGCCTTTACCAGCTAGTACACGCTTCACGCTTCGATCCACTACTATGTCATGTCCATATATTAGTCTAGTATGGCAATAATTAAACACATGACGATCGCAATCTTTCACATATAAAAAATTGACATTTTTTATGAATAGAATGTTGAGTATACAATTTAAGAAAAGAAATGATAATATAACAACTAAAATTTGATTTAATAGTTATTATTTTCTGTTCTTTTGAATATATATGAAAACTTACGAAGAGAAATAATTTTTTTTCATCTCATAAAGATCATGCATTTCTTTTCTTAAAATGTGCTCATATGATAAATGTGACTTTGGGAGGATTGTTGAAACTCGTTTAATATTTTATTGGAGTGTAACTTGAAAAATCAAATTCATTCATTTGACTAATATGCTTGTGTCATTGGCTTCTTGACCTTCAAAAATTTCAAACACCGATGTCTAGAAAAAGTTCCAGAACGATATTGGCGTGGTTAAGAATAGTATGCAAACATCATTAATCATCTTATCTAAATGAGAAACACCACCAATCCAAATACGAATGAACTCAAAAAAAAATAAAAATAAATGGCAGTTAGAATTTTTTTACCACAAGAGGGAATGTGTTCCTTGATCAGGTTGAATGTTCTTTCGTTTGTGGATTATCACGCTATAACATTATGATGACAATGAAGCAGCTATAGCCCAATTTGCCATGATTGTGATGCAATGATATTTGACCAGGGAAAAGAGTGGTTGTCTCTTGGTTGGCCATTACTCCACTACTTGCCGTTTTCTTCCTTCTTCTAATATATATCTATTACAGGTAGTATCCATCTCATTTCTCATGGATTGGGTTGACAATTAACATTAGGTGATCCGTGATCCCCATGCCGTACCTTATAAGCTGCTTCATCTACTAATTAATTTATCAAGTGTCACATTCTCTTCTGCTTTTGACATTTTGTTAGCAGTTTTTTGCCTCTAAGTTGGTTTTTAATTAAAATAATTCGAAGTGGAACTTAATTTCTTACCTTCTCTTCATTTACCACTTGAGCTAAACTATGCCCTGCAAATCCAAACTTTGTTCGCAGATAGAAATACTCGAGGGCTGGATCAGGAAAAGGTCTTGTCTTCGGGGCAGTTGGCCCATGTGTGATAACTTTCGAGCAATGTTGCTTTGGGCTTTGGCTCATTTCTCTTAGGTACTTGGAGTCTTGCACTAAACCATGGGCCGTACAAAGCACACACGGAGCAGACTGCTTCCGCCAATAGATCTTTCCATTCTATAAAGCAATACCCACAAAGAAACAGAGAAAATCCAAAAAGGGGAAAATGGTGAAAGGAAAGCAATACTGGCTGCTGAAGACAGAACCAGGAGAGTGGTCGTGGGAAGACCAAGCAGCGAACGGAGGTGTAACCAAATGGGATGGTGTCAAGAACAAGCAAGCCCAGAAACACCTCAAGTCCATGAAAGAGGGCGATCTCAGTTTCTTCTACCACTCGGGCGCCAGTGCTCGCTGCGTGGTGGGCGTGGTCAGCGTGGTGAAGGAATGGTACTCAGAGAGCGGTGATAAAAACAGTGAGGTGGTGTGTGGATGTGAAAGCGGTTGGGGAGATGAGGAGGCGAGTGGACTTAAAGGACATGAAACAGGATGGGGAGTTGAAAGGGTTTGTGATGTTTAGACAGCCGAGGTTGTCGGTAATGCCGGTGCCCGAGGGGGTTTGGAAGAGGATTTGTGAACTAGGAAATGGGTTTGAAGGGGATGGCATTGGCAACGATGGTGGTGATGAGGAGGAGGATCTGGGTTAGTTTAGGCTAGGGTTAAGGGGCTTAGAAATCAAGAATGTGGGTCTTTTTGGTAAAAAGAAAAGATGAAATGGTAGCAGTGTGGGAATTGCTGGTATAAGTAAAAGATGCCCCTTTCATTTGTATGTATTTTGTTTAAGGAACAAAAAGGGTGCTTAATTAGAATTTTGCCAAGATGTTGTATTTACGGGTGAAGAAATTAAATATGTTGTTCTATATGCTCTTTTGTATGTTATGGAGTATTTTGGTTTAATAGTATTAGAATTCATACCCTTGTTTTGATAAATTTCAGACCAAGAAACTGCAATTAGGTGCAAGGAGATATTTCCGCAAAAGAGTAATTGGGCAGACAATTTTGGCTAGTACTACTTAGTACTCTTTCGGCCCTGGCATTTTGGTGAACGAATGCAGATGAACTAATGAAGGGCGAATCCCAGTGAAACGTAGCGTTTAAGGACATAAGAAATATGAACGGCGTCGTTTTAGTGAGTGTTCCTGCGATGGCTCTACCGCTTCTTGAAAACCCAAAACCCAGAAAGAGAGTTGCCGTTACTCTCTTGTTTGTTTCTTTTTCCCCAGGAAAAAGGAATCGAATATTCTCAGAAACCAAACGGGGCCAAATATTGGCTTTCGTTTGGGTTTTTTTACCCTGATTGTTGCTGGGAAATGCAAACCTTAGGACCTTTGCGACCTCGATTCACGGAGCTATTGAAGCTTCCTTGGCTTACTAAACCGTTTAACTTGCGGGCATTCTCGTCTACACCTCCTGCTGATTACTCCAACCAGTCCCGCGGTGGCCTTCCTCGCTTCTTCTCTGAAACTCTTCCTTCTTCCAAGGCAATCTCTTTATCAACGTATTTATTTCTTAGCTAAAAGTTGAAATCGTTATCCAATTGTTTGCAAATGTTCCAAGTGCAGGGCGGTGTTATTCGCGTACAAGGAGATGAATTTTGGCATATGACTAAAGTTCTAAGGTTGAAAACTGACGACAGGTACTCCTTATCATCCCTCCATCATATAATTTCATTTTTTTTTCCTTCAAATGTGTAAGTTTTTTCTATTCTAAACTTATAAAAACTCTGGGCTTTGGTTAAAGTAATTTTATTCTTTTAAAATACTGGCGTATAAAGAATAGAGCTCTTCAACGGGAAAGGAGGTTTAGTAGAAGGGTGCATACAAAACATTGACCGCACCGCAATTGATTTTGTGGCTTTGGAAGAACCAAAGTTGGTTCTTCCGCAGAGCCCCCAGTGGCATGTATTTGCTGCTTTTGGTAAGTTTTCAAGTTAAAAGTAAACTTACGTTTGCTAAAATCTACTTCATTTGCTAAGTCCTTTTCCTATTTAGGTTCATTGAAGGGTGGTCGAGCTGACTGGCTTGTTGAGAAGTGTACCGTATGCCTTGAATTGGAAACACAAACATTTTTACCCCTTACATTTTTAAAAAAATTTTGTTATGTTACTTTTCTGTTACTAATTATGTTTTGTTTTCAACATTCTAGGAACTGGGAGCTACTAGTGTAACACCTTTGCTGACAGAACGTTCTTCTGCCATCGCTGACAATCGGGTGGAAAGATTGCAGCGTGTCATTTTAGCAGCAGCTAAACAATGTAACCTCAGTTTTAGTTATATCTATGATGTATTCTCAGATTAATTTTACTTCTTATTTTCATGTTAAACATTGATCTTTGCATCAGTAGAAGTCTGGCTCTATCACTAGGGATATTTTAAGGTGTTATATGTTTTTCTTCTTCTTTGTTATTTTTGTATTTTTATGTTATTACCCCTATATGTTGTTCAACACTCTTGTGAAGGCTGATGTCCTTTTACCTCTTGTGAATTGTGATTCCATCTTCTTGTAGGCCAACGGTTGCATGAAATGAAATTGAATCATCCTATGAAGATTGATAATCTTGTACCTGTTGTGAGTTCTTCTTCCTTTGCATACTTAAGTGGTTATTGTATTCTATTAATGAGTTGTGCACTAACCATAGCAATTATATCAAATGATCAATCAAATTTTTATTTGTTGTTTCTTCATTCGCGAGACAATATTTTTGTGATGCTGATATGAAGATTTTCAACATATAATTTTATTAGCAAGCACCAGCTGAAGTTTATGAGTGGTTTACTGATTTTGGTTATATTTTCATCTGTTATCGGGTTGTGGTTCCTTAAAAATAGTTGTTTTATCATATATGGTTCACTTTAATGTATTCAAGATAAGTGATTTTTTTTTTTCTTTCTCATATTTTCTTGAACTTAAAACTCCTTTCCCCCTCCTTTGTCTTTATAGGTTGCCAAGTCGAAGCTGTCTTTTATAGCCATAGCAGAAGCTACTCCTCTTGTTGGTGCATTGACTTCAACAAGAACAGAATCTAGTGGGCTAATAATAGTTGGACCAGAAGGGGGTTAGTATGCACAACATATTAATCCTCCTACCCTTTTACTGCATATGTAGGTGTGAATGGTCATTTGTGGCAAGAAATTAGCACTCTAAAAAGAAATCAAAGATGAAAGTTTTAGAGAATCAGTGGAGTTGTGCATTATGAGCCCAACAGTTCATATCCTTATTTATAGTTTTGGAATTATTTTTAAGATTGGATTTCTTCGAAAATGACCAGAGGCATGCTTGACATTGGTTCCTTTAATTGAGTTTTTCTGATTTCTTTTGGAAAACAAAAAGAAAGTTAGTATTACTTATTGTCATTCTGGTGCTTCAGATTTTACAGTGAAAGAGGTGAATATGATTATTGAAGCAGGTTCTACAGCAGTTGGTCTTGGGCCTCATCGATTGCGTGTTGAAACTGCAACTATAGCTATTTTGGCAACCCTAATGCTATGGTCTGACTCACAGCAAATCACCAACCCCTAAGCACTAGTGCAGGTGGTTCTTATATTTTTGTCTCCTACTTTTGCCTCGCAACTTCTATCCCATCTACAAACCTTATTGTCTTAGTTAATTTATATGTTGGAGATAAAGTGAATGGACCAGGAGATGATAGTTCCCTTTCCTATGGGACACTAATGTGAATGGATGTAATGATTCATACATCATAATGGCTGGAAGAGGGAAAGGATGTAGAATAACTTGCTTCTTTTTTGCAAAGATGTGAAGTACATTATTAGTTTTATTGGTATTTGCATTTATCTTCCTTCTGTTCCGTGATTTTTCTTAAGCTAGCAATTTTTATTCAAGGTTTTGGTGAATGTTCCTATTCTTTTGGTCTCCAGAGAAAGAGAATGACTGCAGTCACTTCATTTAAACTTGACTGTACTCTCTGTGAATTGTTATACTCAAACGTTTATAAGAAAAATTTTATGCATTTCCAAAGTTCTGATTATTTTCTAAATCTTTTTTCATCATCCAGCCAGGTTGGGATGAAATAAGTGTTTTTGTCTTGAAAATTAGGTCATTAAATAAAGACTAATTTGTTTGAAGACCAATTAAAAAAACACTATGATCATATTAAATTAGTCAGTATCATGCTGTAGCAAGAAACTTGAAATTCCTATATGGTAGGGCGAAAGGTCAGAGCAAAATATTATATGAAAAATATAAGTTTACTGACATTTTAAGAATGATGTCTGGCTGCACTTACCAGTCATACCGTTCAATTCTTTGAAATATTATGACACAAGATTCTGTTTGTGCGAATTTATTGAATTAATTTTTCCAGTGTTGAATTTTGAAAATTAAATCAGCAATATCCCCGATAGTCTATGTGTCCCTTTCAGTAATGAATTCTCTTTCTATAAAAGCTAATTTAATATGGAGCCTTCATTGTGAAAAGAGAAAATGTAAATTGCTGAGCATTTGTTTCTATATTAATCTATGCTTCCTCTTGATGCAGGTCCAGAGTTGTCCTTTTGGCACGAGTGACTGTCACTTTTCTTTTGTTGGGAAATTTTGCAATCGAATCGATTTGCTTCAGGCAAATTTCTTCCCTTTGTTTTTATTTTTAACAATTACCAATATTAAGCTTCAATTTCGTTGTGCTAGCAAAATTTTTTGTTCATTAGATCTGACTAGATTTAGGTTAAGCTCAGGTTATGTTTGTTATGGAATTCATCACTATTATAAATTTATTTATTCCTCATCTTCCTCAACTTTTACGTTATGTCTTGTTCCTTGCATATCCCTATATCTTATGTTAGAAATCTAATCTCGAGTTGTTAAGCATATAGTGACGTTTACTTGGGGTTAATGCATTATTATACTATTGATTTTGTGTTTGAATATGAATTTACTGCATGTGGGGGCTTTGCTTTGGAGTTAATACGACTTTAGGCATGTTTTTCGTTTTACGGGTTGCTTTCTCTTTAATCTCTCCCTCTCCCTCTCCCTCTCCCTCCCTCTCTACGAGAAATATGTATGTGTGTATGTATGTATGTTTGTGTGTGTATATATATATATATATATATATATAAATAGATTTTTGGCTGCGGAAAGAAAAAGAGCTTTACTAGGGAAGGTCTTTTCCTCATATGAGGATTCTTCAAGAAAAAAAGAAATGGTATTCAAAAGGTTGTTCAATAGAGATCATTTGACTTGAAGATTTTCTAAGTCTTGTGATCCTTAATAATTTAATAGTATTGTCCTAACTCTACTGTCCGTGGGCGGCTGTTGCATTTTAGTCATAAATATTTATTTTGGTAAGCTAAGGCATTTATGGGTTATGTCCTGCACAAGTTATCCCATTCTCTTCTGGTTCTATGCACTTATGGCCTAAATATGGCCCGTATACGGGCTCCCATGAACTTCGCTTTGAATTATCGACACTTGATAGATTTTGTACATTCACAAAATTCAAAACCCATGTCTCTGCTCTTCAAATTTTCTTTTTGTTCCTGTACTTGGCTATTTCCCCTTTGCTGATATTTGCAAGACAAAAAAGAATTACCTAGTGGAAACTACTCAATTTGATGGACTGGGGTAAGAAAATAATCTGAATCGGGTGGCATTATGATAATATCTTCTTCAAGACAAAAATTGTTTGAAGCAATTTTGCATACGAATAAGCTGTCTGAAATCAGTTGCTTACTCTTGGTGACTAAGCCCCGACGTGGGTTCGTAACTATTGCACGTGTGCATCAATAAAATCCAAGTTATCTCAGGGTCGGGGATGCCTAGGCCACGTGAAATGTTCTTGCTTGAAAAAAACACCTCTGTTAATGCCTCTACAAAAATCTTATCTGACTCTGACTTTTTTATTTGATATATAAATCATATTATGGTATTAATTTATTTATGTAAAAAATTCATTTATATTCAGAATAATACCAAATGTCAACAGTTAAGGTCTTTGCATTTTTTATGACTATTGTTCTTGCAAAACCATTCCAAGACTGCAATTGGTAGAAGTCAAAGAAATCGTAATTAGTAGCACATTGATGACTTAAATCTGGAATTTACTTCAGTCATGCTTAAATAGATTTGTGGCCACAGAAAAGTCTTATAGGATTGCGGCATGCCCCAATAGTAGTCATGAATGTCCGCACCGTCGAGAAATGGAGACTAACAAAGCAAAAAATCAAAATTGATCCTTTATTCAGTGTTGCTTTCGAATCCCTTATGCATGAAAAAACACAAGTGGTGGTGGGGGGGATGGAAGAAGAATGGCTTCCCTCTCCTCTAAAAAGTCTAATGGCCAATCCCAGCAAGAGGAAAAGCCGTGTAAGTTTTTAGGTTGTGAATACCCAAATTAAGATGCTATCATTGATTGTCAATTTAAGATGGTAATTAAAAGCATTAAATTTATTAATAGAAAAAAGGTTGGATAAATTAACTGATTTAGACTTTCCAAATAAATTTCCATCAAGAATCTAAACAGGCTCACGCTTTACCATAATTACTGCTACAATTAGTTGTCATTCGTTTGTTATACTTCAACGACCCTTTTGATGCAGCCAGCCGACTATTTTTCATGAAAGAAGTGCCACAATCCAAGTGTACAAGAAGAGCAAGAAGTACTTGGTTCGTGCCGTCTCCTTATCTTGTCTAAAATTTTGAAGAGAGGAAACAGAGAAATAATAATGACTGCAGCTACAAGTAATTGTACAAATAATAAATCTTATTTGGATCCTTACATTTTCTTTTCTTTAATACTTAGACATATATATATATATATATATATATATCCGAAGTACTGAATTATCCCCAATATCCAGGGAAAATAACATCTTTGTACTCTTTGCCACTAGTTTTAATGTCAAAATAATTGCACTTACGAAAAATTGTCAGATGCTACACGTGGCATGAAAAATTGGAAACTTTAATTTCACTTTTTTTTTTCAAGTGTTTGATTTTTTTTTTTTGTTCTCTTGATCCGTTGTGAGTGCTCTCTTGTCTTTTTTCTTGTTTATAAAATTTATGTGTTCAGCACTTTTTTTTAAGTACGATTTCTGTACTAGTGTTAGTAATTAATTTTTTATTCTAGTATATTCGTCATATTTTTTTTGCTTTATAGAATATATTCATTATTATACCTCGTGATTGTATATTATTTTTATGATTGATCAGGTACTAAGCCAGCCCTTGTAAGAGTACGTTGCTTTTCAAAATAAAATGAAAATCATATCATATTCGTATCGTATAGTTGAATTTGACGAGCAAATCAGCATCCCCACGCCAAGTACACACTATCATCATTTCTCTACCACAAAGGTCAGTCAGAAACACTTGGCCAATGGCAATCTCGCAATTTTTTTCAACATCAAGCCCATTTGGCCCCATCTAACTCCATAAAAACCTGGTTAAGTTTCGGTACTCTAAACTCGAAAACACAAATCCAAGCAAAATCAAAAGGCGAAGCAAGATGCAGGAGCTGTAAGAAACGAGAGAATCCTTTTTGTCTCTTCCCGTAATTTTTGTACTTTGTTTCTTTTTGGTTCATCGAAATCCGAAATGGCAAACCAGTTGGAGAACTTGGTGCAATCAATCAAGTCCAAGGTAAGGGCCCTGAAGAAGTCCAAGAAGCCATACATAAAGATGGACAAGAGCTCAAGCGTGAAGGTCGAGATCCGTAGCAGGAAGGCAAGAAAGCTTATAGACAAGACTTTGAAGGGCGCTGACCGCCCTGGAAAGCGTAGCATTTCATGACCCTTTCTTCTATTTCTATAATCTTCTTCTTCTTCGTAATCAGAAGAAGAGAAGTATGTTTCCGTTTCTCTTTTTCATTTGCTTGTAGATACCTACTTTGATCAATTAATTAGCTTCACTGATTTAGAACTTTTAGATATCGTCTCTTCTGCTCTTTACTGTCTCCCTTTTTGGTTATGTTTTGGTAATGTTGGCCTACCGATTCTGTGTTTCTTTGGACGTTACAAGATAGTGGAGCCGTCTCGGATTGGCAAAGAAGAAAGCAACTTCTTCGTTTTCTGAACCTCTGGTTTACGCTTACGTTTCTGTTATTCTCTGTTTCTATGATGAAAGGATCTAACTAAGATGAGAGTGCAACTTTTGTGAATATACCAGTTTCCTGGTTCTCTCTCAATCTGTCTTTTCCCAATTCATCCGATAATGACTATAGCCAGGCTAACAACCAAACTTTTCTTCCTTCCACTCTGTGTCTTCTAGTGAAGAAACAGCAGATAAAATATGATTCAAATTCTCCTTGGCAACCAACAAAAATTACCTGTAGTTGATAAACGATAAGCTCGCCGTATTAGGTATTGACAAGCACTTCAACTTGTTGGTTTATCTTTTGACAAAACACTAATTTCCGGTTTATTTTCAGTCAAAGTATCAAAAGGTTAAAGGAAAAATTGGTTTAATCGTCTTCTTTTTCTTTTCTTCCCTCTGTATTTTCCTGGTAGCGAACCAAAAGCAAGGCAAGGAGAAATGCTATGGTGGGAATCGTTGACTTGTGCGAGGCATGTGTTTAGACTCTTTGAGGTTGCATCAGAACCGTACAAATGGAGTAGATCCAAGTAGCTTTCAGAGGAGTACAACACATGGTTCAGTATGGGTGACAATTGAATTGCGGTTTCCCTTCGATTTTACCTTTTCATTTTGTCAACGTGATTTATTCTTCAATTAATAAAGGTAGAGCAATTTTTAGGATGAAGGTACATCCATTTCTAAATCAAATATTGCCGATTCCATCAAGGTAAGAGATAAGGGTGGATTTTAGGTTAATAAAAAAAAGTTTTTTTTTAATTATTTAGTAGATATATTTTTTAAATTAAAAATATAAATTCATGATAAATGATATTAAAATTGATCAAAATTTTCATCGATGTGAGATTTTTGTGAAAAATAACAAAATCGAGTTAAATTTGAATCAAAATTCAATCCCTTTCTTTTATAAATAAAAAAGTCAATCAAAATGTTACACGATTTGTTAAAAAATACAATAAGTTTTGAATATATAAATAAAAGTCTTTATTTACTTCACAGGTATATTTTTTAATTAAAAACATAAATATGTGACAAATAATATCAAAGCCTATTACAAATAAATTGGATGGACTTCACAATAAGATCTGAATTATAAGGTCCCTGCTAGTTACAAACTCGTAATTAAGGCTTTTTAAAAAAAAAATTTAGTAAGTGTTTATAAACATTAGGTTAACCTACTAAAGAGGATGATGTTTTAAAGCACATTTTTCTTCGAATTAAGTTCTTGTTTAATGCAATATGCTCATTAAATTTGAATTGGCCCTTTGGTGTTATTTCTTCTACAGGATGCACCTAAATTAGAATGCAAATCCTCTACCTTGATCCTGATTTTAAAATCATGTCATTTATGCATTTGACAGTATTGTCTTCTCTGTGTTTGTGGGGAAAAAAGAAAACCAAAGAAAGAAAGAACTTAATAGAGCTTTGGTACGTGTGAAAGGGAGAAGATTTACATAAGATAGTTAACTCAGTCTTAAACCAGATCAACCTTAAACGAAAAACGTATGTGCGCTTCTACCATGAAACCAGATCAAACTTAAATGAAAAAAACAAGTTCATTTTACCGTCAAACCAAATCAGTCTAGTCTTTCTTATTTTTAGATCTTTATATGATATGATTTTGGGATATTAAGTTCTTTTTTTTTATTTTTTGTTTCATTTATCATAAATATTAAAAAAATATTATCAAAAGGACAGATGATATGATTTTAAAATCAAGATAAGAAAGATGGCATGAGTTGAGATAGAAGACTTGCATTCCGGATATTAGGAGTTCTAATTTAAGTTTAAGATTTAAAGGATGGTAGGCGCCTATATTCTAAAAAAGGGAAAAAAATACCGTTGGGTGTTTGTTTCTACTGCCGGATGCATCTAAATTAGGATTTCCTTGGTATTTATAAAACCATTCACTTTGAAAAGATGGGAATTGCTTTCCTTTATTGTTCCCCAACCTCATCAAGAGATGCAAATGTGGCTTCCTTTTGAAGCATATGAAAGGCTACGGTTGAATTTTTTTAATTTTCATAAGTTAATTATATAGTACGGGAAGTCCTATCCCTCTTTCCCATTTTTATTTTTGGGATAATCTCTAAACCATTTTTTTCCTTTGAAAGACTCTAACCCATTTTTTAAATTATAAGAACATTTAAATAAATATACGAGAGGAATTTTTTTTTTTTGAAAAATAAATACGAGATGATTGAGTTTGAAGAAAGCGTTGGACATAAATTTTTTTTTTCAGACCTCATACACAGTATCCTATGCTTATACTGCTGTTGTCTTTAGTTCGTTAGTGTTTGAATTTGGTACATTAATAGACAATTGGATAACCCTCTAATCGTAATGCATATCCATTCATGCCTCTGAAATTTTAAACAGCAGTCAACATTTAATATTAAATTGCATTATGTCATTTATCCTGTCTTCTGATGGCTTGTTTTGATGAGAATGAGTAAGCCCATTATTAATTTTTGGGCTTGACAGTTATCGACAACCATTTCTCATTTATCTAGCCTTGAGCCTATGCCCATACTGGCACAACGCCTGTTTTATTATTTACTTGAAGAGGAAAGCCTTTGATCCCATGTGATCTGTAAGCCGAATAATTATAGTTATAGCGTTTCCATCTGCACATGAATTTGTCTTTAATAAAGATGAACAGCCTTAAACTATCAAGAACAAAGTTTTAGTTATATTTACTTGCAATTCCGAACTGAATTTAAGGTTACTATATCACTTACAATAGTCATTGGATATTTAAATCATTTTAAATCTCTCTTACTTAATTGACAATAATTCTTAAATGTTCACAAAATTATCACAGCATAGTCAATATAAAAATGCAAGCAATTGGAGCTCAATCCAAACTAAATTTTAATTGTAGGTTATAGATTGACATTTCCGGTAGGAAAAGAAACCAAGTAAGAATTTAAGAGATGGAGTGATTTGATCCAACATCACTTAATTTCAGTCTTTCATGTCTATATCCAATGGCCTTCACTAGCGATACACTACAACATTCCTCCTAGCTGCGTAGCTTCTACTTCGCGGATACAGCAAATCTGCCATAGCATCAATCTCTTCTTCCTCAAAGGAACAAGGCTTGTCCTCGTCAATTCTCCCAATCTTTCCAATCCCAACACTGTAGCTTCTCATCCCCATCCCACCGGATCCCGCGGTGGCCTGTCTCATTCCTGATGATTGCACCTTGCTGTCTATCCCTCGCTTAGATGCCGCACGAAGCAGTTGTCTAAACTCTTCATCGTCGCTTGCCTTAGAGGAGTTGACACTGAAGCTCTTAGGCAAGCGTGAAGCTGCAGGAGGAGCAGGGCAAACCACCCCACCGCCACGACCAACCCCGCCAGCGCACTCCTCTATTCTCTTCACGTAGAAGTCTCTTGCCTTGCTTAGAAGTCTGATGGGTGAACATACGATTTTCATTAACTTCCTTTGCTTGTTTGCTTTGCATCCTTTGCTTCTCATTTTTGGACCTGTGCTTGTGCTTCTTCTGCCTGAAGAACGGGGTAGCTAGCTAGTGATGTAGAAGTGAACCGATTTAATTATTTTGACCAAGAGCGAGATTCCTTTTAAATTTGAGGCAAAGAGCAGACAATGAAGGGTTTATATAAAGGTGATGTCGTGAACTCGGTTATCCATTATGGACTTGTTTCTTGGAAGGAACCTGGAATTCAAGGTCGTCTAATTGAAGCGGTAAGGGGCGTGTAGACTATTTCAAATGAAGGGGGCATGTGAAAATGAAAACTTCAATAGTAGGCCAAAATTGAAAACAAAGAAAAGTAGTAATAAAAAACCCAAGTTGACCTAAAAGGAAAACTGCGTAAAAAGCAGGTGATTTTGACTCTACCAAGCTGGGCATTGGGGTCTCAGGATTCTCTCCAGTGGTATCGTGTGCATTTCGATTGAAGTGAGTAGGCAATTCAACCAGGAACCTGATTGTTTTTTTTTTTTTTTGGTTTGAGAAAAATCATAAGGTTTGAAATTGACTTGTTAATTGACATTTTCCCAAAAGGAGAACAGGCAAAATGGAGAGGAAAAACATAAAGTCAGAGTGCCGTTCACATCCAAATCTGATTTGGAACACCGTACGTCCAATCCGTTTGCAAAAGTCCAAGGGACACAGCATTAAAAATGAAAAATGAGCTAGGAAAGTTTTCCTGGAAGTTAATACATTAGAGGTTAAGAATTGTGTCAAACATAGAGAAGGAGAAAAAAACCATGTGCATAAGGGATCAAAACAGAATACCATTTGTTAGTATTGTTGTTTTCGCAATTGGTTAATACGCGTACTATCTGTGCGTCACATTCTTCCCCTCGTTTACAGTATGATACTACCGAAAAAGAAAATTTCTTTTATATACTAGTTTGTTTACAAACAAATTTAAAAAAGATAAAATATTTTAATCTTTTAAATTTTAATCGAAATTATACTAAAATTTATTAATTTTTACAAAAACCACTACATTTTAAAACTACAAATTCTGTTAATAAAAATAATAAATAAATTAAAATATTATTTTTTATTAATTTAAAAAATTGTTATCATATTTTTTAAAAAATAATAAAAATATGCTAGCTTCCCTTGACAGGTGAGCACCGGTGCTCCGCTTGGAGAGCCCGAGCGTGGCTCCCTAGGAGAGCCTCGGGTTCCCCAAGGGGAGCGCCAGGTGCTCCCTTGGTAGCTCGATTCGGGACTCCTTCGCTCCCTTGGTGAGCCCTCGCTCCCAAATCAAGCTCCCTGAGGGAGCCCGTGCTCCCTTTGGGGAGTTTTTTGTTTTAATTAATAAAAAAATAAAAAATTATATAATTATAATTATAAAAATTATAAAGATAAAATTATTTTTTTATTCTTGTCGTGTTAGCAAATTGATAAAAATATTAATAGTTAATTAACGATTGAATTTACGTGTTTAATGAAAAATAATTATTTGAAGTGGGTTATTTATTTTTAAAATTAATAAATTTTCTTGTAATTTTGATTAAAATTTAAAAAAATCAAAATATTTTACCCATTTAAAAATGATCAAATGTCCATTAATAAATAATAAAGTAAAATATCCTTAAGCTTTTAAATTTTGATTGAATTTACGTTCATTAGTTTTCAAAATAAACATTTCGTCCCAATAATACAAATATCATTAACCGAAATTATAAAAAAATTAAAATATTATTTTTATTAATTTAAATTTTATTATTATATTTTTAAAAAATACAAAAAATAGACCAAGAAAGGACAGCATTGGCCAATGCTCCTAAGGAAGGCGAGCACCAGACCTGTGCTCTCACATGGGGGGCTTTTTTAAAAAATTAATAAAAAATTATAAAAATAATTATAAAAATTAATAAAATATAATATTATTTTTTTATTTTTATCACGTTAGCAAGTTAACGAAAATATTAATAATTGACTAACGATTGGATCTACATATTTAACAAAAAAAAATTTTATATAAAATATTTGTTTCGAAAACTAATAAACTTTCGTATAATTTCGATTAAAACTTAAAAAAATAACAATATTTTACCCTAAATTATATAAATTAATGTAATTAAAAAATAAATAGATATTCAATATATAAATTCTCTAGTGAGATTTAGATATAGAACTAGTTGCCAAGTTAAGCCATCGGAGAATTAAATTTTAATAAATGGATAAAATTCACTTCTCTTTTGGCTGGAAATGCTCAGTTAACACAAAAACTCCTTGGAATTAAGGAAGGAACCATCTACCTCTCATCCTTGTTTTGTTGTTAAAATGGGTGTTTGATAGCTAATTTTGGAGATATGATCAGAGCCATTCTTTTTTCCTGTTGACAGTTGAATGCCTAATTATCCATTGTTCAAGGATTTGACTTTGATAGTGCTATGAGACAATGGGCAGGTCATGCTTTCAATGGACCCTTGTGCTAACCCCATTTTTAGCCTACTTTCAAAATTCAAGTCCAACGAAAACAGTGAAAGACCAACTCTCCTCCTTTATATGTACAAATGCCCATCTTCATTCTATTCTTCACCACACAGTTCTCCAAATCTTCCAACTTCTTCATTTCTGCGTCCGTACAAGGGCTTTGGGTAACAAAGAGTTACCGGTGCAGAAAAATGAGGAGGAGCAAGGCAGAGTTACAAAGTAAATTCAAGCAGTACATGTCAAAGCCCATGAGCAAGGCAGAGTTACAATGTAAGTTGAAGCAGTACATGTCAAAGCCCGTGAAAGCTTTAAACAAGGCAAGAGACTTTTACGTGAAGAGCTTGGAGGAATGTGCTAGTAAGGTAAGTTACGGTGGCGTTATCGGCTGCCCTGCGTCTCAAGTTTCACGTCTGCCAAGGAGTTTCAGTGTCAACTATTCAAAGCCGAATAATGAAGAGAAATTCCTGAATTTCTTAGAAGTTATGTCGAAGAAGAGATCAATGGAGAGTTCGGAGGAGTCAAATTTGCAGCGAGAGGTGATGATTGATCCGTATGGTGGTCTGAAGAGAAGTTATAGTGGTAGCATTGGCCTGGCGAGAATTGATGAGGACAAGCCATGCTACTTCGAAGAAGATGCGCTGTATGCTAGAAGCAGAAGTTACGCTTACAAGAGAAACTATTATTGAAGGATGAAGGATCGGAAGCTTTTGGTTTTATGAATAAATTGAAATCAAGCATCAGACCCATTAAACATGCATTCTTGATTTTACTACTTATTTGGTTTTTTCCGTTAGGTTTCCAATGGGAACTGGAAAATGTAAAATTATTCTGTGGGTGTGAAATCATTGTTTCTTTAGCTTATTTATGCTATGTATTTTTTAGTTTGAATGGGTGTTTAAAAATCTCTCTAACCTAACTTGTTTTTAATGAATTTCTAGTTGTCAATTTATTTATGACCAACACAAAATCAATCACAAAGCAAGATCCTTCCCTTCCTTGGGAAACTTGTTACTATTGGATAGGTTGGAGCTATAAATACTCAAAATCAAAGGAGCTTCAAACTCTGTTCAAAGATAGCACTGAATTCATCCATTGGCTTCTTGTTTAAGGCCAAACCGATCTCAATTCCACCCTGTTCATCTCTACACTCCGCAAGAGATATAGTCTCATTAGAGTCGATGTGAACCAACTCGACCTTACGAGGCCTTCCCCACCCAAAATTAATATCATAGACATATAATTTTGGCGATCCAGAGACAGAAACAAAACGCCCTGATCTTGTTCTTTCCATAATAGTTGTTATCCAACTCTCCACATCTCTCAACCCACGATTCTCAGTTTCTTTAACTTTGTTCCCAATTGCTTTCGCCGCCAATAGAATCCCATTTTCTCCTATCAGCTCACTTTTCTTGACTTCTGCAATACCTGGTTTTAGGCAATTTCCTAAATATGTTTCCGGAATTGGAAATTCCAGGCGGTTACGGCAATCAAAGGGGAACTGAAAGTAGTAAAACTTGTTATCATCAGCATCTGATGAGTTACGAGTAAAACTTTCTTGTGACTTGATCAAACAAACCCATATGAAGGCACATGTCACCACAAAAGTTGATACGTGCAATTGCTCTGAATTGGCTGCTGTGACCAAATCCTTGAGTTTCTCGACATGGGCTCTACCCAACAAAAATGTGGCCCGAACCTTATCCGCTGCTGCAACATGGGTTTGGCCAGAATTCTCATTATTCGTTGCTACCCAGTTCCAGTAAATTTTCAAGTGAAGGGACTCTGTCCCATCAGGATCCTTGATGACATCCTTGTTCCACGAAGGAAGTGATTTTTCAAGGCAAGACAAGTCACCACCATCCGCCCTATGAACAGACGACCAAGACCTAATGAAATGCATGAACGTTTTCCCATCGCCAACCACGTGACAATAATTGGACCCAATGCAAATGCCAGAGTTTGGAAACAAGGTGACTTGAAAGGCTATGACGGGGAGGACACGAGTACCATCTTCTGCCACGGGCGCGGTTGGCAGCCGTGGCGCAAAGGGACGTAACAATTTAACATCTCGCGGATAATGGGCAATAACATGGTTGAAATCTGCAGAGGATTCAACGACCGTGAAGGTAACAAAATCACCATCTTCGTAATGGAGATAAGGCTTGCCGGGTGGTGGAGGGCACATAAGCTTGGCTGCGTATGGAAAGAAATGTTGGAGAGTCAGGGAAAGAGAGTGTTTTAGCAGTGGGAGAATGGTATCCATGAAGTACAAGGTTGGGTATGGGAATTCGTAGAAGAAAAGGCGTTGTATATTAGGAAAACCAAACCACGGCAGATCAAAGAAAGTGAGACGAAGAGAGGTTGTGCGAACTGAGCCTGGAGGCGGTGAAACATGACTGCTATCGAGAACCTGCAATTCCTCGTTGGCTTGAGCCATTTTTTTTGGAGAGAACAAGAAATTATACACAAGCTAAATATATAACTTTAACTTGGGACAGAATGTATACTGGCTGCACGTATAAATAGATGTTCAGATTAAGATGAAGCATCGTGGACATAAATATCAATGGACCCAGTTGGAATAAATTCCATTCTTAGGAAAGATTTTGAATGGAATAGATGCGGATGGTGAAATTATTGAAGCGGGGACGGGTTGGATACAAAGCAAGACAGAATAAAAATGGCTTAAAAAGTAGATAAGATTTAAAGAGGGACCAAAAATAACGCAACTTAATTACTTTACTATATATAAAACAAGAATATTTATGTCCGAATCGGGAAATATAAATAATTAATTTTATATAAATATTGCAACTTGCTTGTACTTTTTCTTCTCTTAGATAAGTTTCGATGTTTTAAATTTAAATTGAGCTTCCAAGGAAGATAAAACAAAGAAATAAGTTTTAAAAATTAGTGAAATAATTATAATTTTTTTAAAAAAAATTATTACATTTAATTAAGTATTTATATTTTCATTTTGAATTAAATAAATTTTTAAATTAATTATTTATTAATTAAAATATTATAAGTAATTTTTTATGTCAAGTAATGCTAACATGAAAGATGCAAATGTCATTTACATATATTATGTTACGTCAACCTATCACATCATCATCCACTATAACTAGTCAACATGTGATGCTTGTATTACATAATATAAAATAATAAGTGATATTTTAATTAATAATAGTTAGTCATTAATTAATAATAAGGGTCTATTTAATTAAAATTAAAAATAAAAGAGATTGATTAAATGTAATAAAAAATAAAAATTTATTTAAATTTTTTTAAAGAATTTAAAAGGTTTTTTTAAATGTTAATACTTAAAATTTGAAAATTGATCATATCAAAATATTGGGAGATTTTATTTTGCTCACAGTAAAGACAACTTGAAGATCAAACATGCAAGTTGTGCTACTTGGATCTGGAAAACAAATATTCCCCATTGCAATTTCTATAGGTTGACTTGAAACAAGTACAACAAAGCATGTTTCAGCAGCATTTTTGTTTGGGCAAAATATCCTAATCTCTTTAATTTTGATGAAAATTACATAAAAATTTATTAATTTTTGAAATGAATATTTTGCCCTAAGACTACAAACACCATTAACAAAAATAACAAAAATTCTAAGATGCACTTTCATTTTCATTAATTTAAAAAATTATTCTTATATTTTTAAAAAAATAAAAAAATAAGTGGCACCTGATGCTCCCCAAAGGAAAGGAGCACTTAATGCTCTTTTTGGGAACCCGATGCCCCTCATCGGTAAGTTTTTATTTTAATTAATAAATAATAATAAAATTATAAAATTATAATTATAAAATTATCTTTTTATTCTTGTCACGTCAGCAAATTGACGAAAATACTAACAGTTGATTAATAGTTAGACTTATGTGTTCAACGAAAAATATTTTTTAAAAATAAAAGTGTTCATTTCGAAAATTAATGGACCTCCGTATTATTTTGATCAAAACTTAAGAGGATCACATTATTTTACCCTTTTTTTTTTTATTTAGAAAGATGGAACTAAAAAGCTTAAGAAATTATATAAAAGAATTTTAATAAATGGAATGAAGCTATTCAAAACAAAGATGACCATATAATAGTGCCATTCCATAAGCAAATATGATTATTGCATTACACTCTAACATTTGGTTCATTGATAAGTACATGATCTTTCTCTTAAAAAAGTAAAATTCAAATCTTTTTTTTCATATATATATATATATATATATATATTGCATTCAGGTTATTTTTAGGGTTTGTTAATGGATTGCCTACAATGTAATGTTGCGTCAAGAAAATCGGATCAACTTGAACAGGATCTATGACTAAGAATCAATGGTTCAAGACAAGTAATATCAGTATTAAGTAGGATATATTTTATCTACAGATTAATTGGTTCATGTCCAATTTCAAGTCCTACAAGAAATTAGTTACTACATTTTTTTAAATTTGAAGAAAAATTATGAGATTTTTGAAAAATTATTCCAACCTACAAAATGAGAAGAATGAAAAGAATCAAATTTTTTGTTGTAATTTCGGCATTGATTAATGACCAACATCACTCACTATCAAGACACATCAGTATGTCATGTTAGAAATTACCTAAGTGAAGAATGATTCATGTTATTAAGATTATAAATAGTTATATTTCTATTAATCTTAGGAGTTTATTTAATTCAATACAAAAATTAAAAGACATGTTTAAACATAATAACAATTATAAATGTTTTTAAATAATCGTGTATAATTCATAAACACATTTAGTTAGTAACCTTAAAATTTTCAAATCACAAAATATAGTAGGTAAAGATTAATCATTGCTACCGAGAAAAGCAATCAAATCATTTGATAAAAAAAAAAACCTCCTTTGATTCCTAGGGAAAACATTAATAATTAAAATCTTCTATCAACAATATTAAAAATTATACACTAGTATTCTGGCATGGCATCTGTAGATGCATTTATTTAATTGATTAATATATAAGAAAATAGGATCCATTTATTTTGTTTTGATGTAAAATGTTTTTTGGAAAATATTTTGAAGATTCATGGTTGTCTGGAAGATAAAAAATTTATTTCAAATATAAAAGTCAATGAGAAAAACAACCATTGACCATGAAATATGTTTTACCCCCAATGTCTTAAGCCTCAGAGGAGTGTAAGATATTTTCCAGAAAATATAAAAAAAACTCTTATACTGAGTCTAAGTATATAGATTTGATGAATATTACTATTTAACTTAAATATTTAAAAAGTTAACAATATATTAATATTTAACTTAAATTTTTTTAATTTAAAATATTAATATTTAAATTATTCAATACTATTAAAACTAAAAAATATTATTTAATGAAACCATTCAATGCAATTAAACTTTTTATTTATAAATTGAATAAATTTTCCTAAGAATTATAATAAAAAATATTTCAATGATCTAATGAAAGTATAAGCTTTAGATGTCTTATCTAATTGATAAATATTGATATTTTTAAAGTGAGTACACATAAATATAGATAAATATTGGCATTTTTAGTTTTATAGTAAAAAAGTGATGAGATAAAATTTTTTTGAACATTAGAGCTTACTTTAAGTTAAAGATCGAATGATTGTATTGCACTAATTATTAAATAAAATACTCATATATGGGTATGCTTAACTATTAAACTAGGAATAAGGAACAAAAATATTCACATCCACATAGCATGCAAAGCCTATAGCTCAACAAATTTGGTTTCACAAGTTAGAAAAAGTCAGAATGAGACAAAAGGCAAGTATCTAATCCATTGTTTGAAACCTAAGGATAAGATAGCGGAATTGATAAAAAAAAATTCATAAATTTAAGTGGGATAGACTTAATAAAAGGAATAGAGATGATAATGAAGATCATATTGAGAAATAAATGAATTCAAAATTGAAAAATACATACCTCAAGTTTAAATGTTTAGAGCAGAAGATCAAAAGGCTAAACCCATGTCCAAAGCCTCCAAAGTCAACTAGTCCACATGTCAATCAATTGGAGCACTAAATGACACAAAACTATCCCATGTTAACAATCAATTATTAAATGTTTTGAAAAATATTATTGTCCATTCTTTATTTTGATATCAAATTAGTGAAAATCAAATGACATCATTATTTTGTAATCAACTCCTATTTATCATCTTAACAACTAAATAACTCAATTAGTGATAATGAAAAATATTTTCAGACAATCATCCAAACGATAGAATATGTTTTCTACAATTTATCCAAATAATAGAAAATATTAAATTTTTTTATAAATATTTTACACTGAAAAAAGTTTTTCCCATAAGTTATTTTTCAATTACCAAACAAACCTTTATTACAAGTAATAACTAATAACTCTTGTGTCAAAATTAAATAAATGACACTTTTCTTACCACTTATCTCCAAGAAACCAAAAAATAACTCCAATGAGATCTCAACCTCTATCGCCTCCGCCCAAACCCGAGGACTACCCAAACCTTCTAATTTGACCTACTCTAACCCTGAATCAACCTCTCACCACATCCATTGCAGAGCATTGAAAAGCATTCGTTGTAAGGCATCGAAAAGCGTTGACATAAAATTATAAGAATTGAAATAAAACTTCATAAACGTGAAACAAATATATTTAAAATTTTAAAGTAAATATGTGAGAATTAATGTAATAGGTCATTTGAGTCATAATAATCTAATTTTAATGAAAAACAAACATTTAAATTTACATTCTTATACTAAAAGTATTTAATGATTTATAAATTTTAATTTAAAAATAAATAACAACAATTATTGTTAAAAGTTATCATTAAAAAATTTAGACATAAAATTCTAAAAATTAAAATAAAAACTCGTAAAGGTAAAACAAGTATTGTTAAATATTGATGCAAATGTATGAGATTTAATGTAATAAATCATAATAATAAATTTAATTGAATTAAATTAATTAGATATAATTTTAATATTGAAAAGAATAATAAGAATAATGTTCTTATATTTTAAGATAAAAATAAAATAAAAATTAAATAATTTTAAAATAAAATAAATAAATTTAAAAATTACTTGCATTGTTAACATAAAATATATATGTTTAAAAATAATTTATATTGTTTATCTGTTAATCTGTTATACAAGTTTTTTTTTTAAAATTATATTTATTGATTTTGTTAGACTTGCTGTAACGGTCATCTAAGTATTCTGGGATATGTTGATGTATTTATTTAATGGATTAATATATGAGAAACCTTTTTAAATTTATTGAAGTAATAACGACAAACACTTGCGCCCAAATTAGACGACGAAGAATATAAACGACACTTTTCTTACCACCGACTTCCGATGTCGATGAACCTCTAAAAATAACTCCAATGAGATCTCAACCTCCACCGCCTCCGCCCAAACCCGAGGACGATCCGGATCCTTTAATTCGGGCCACTGCAACCTCGAATCAACCGCTCACCACATCCGTTGCAGGGCATCGGAAAAAAGGGACCGGTGTCCGGCCATGGCTTTTACTGGACTCAACGGGACAGACCCAAGTGGTGGAGGCGGGAAAGCATGCTATCATGAAACGCACGGGTTTACCCGCTCGAGATCTTCGGATCTTGGACCCACTTCTGTCGTACCCGTCTACGATTCTGGGTCGAGAAAGGGCGATCGTGATTAACTTGGAGCACATAAAGGCAATCATCACGGCCCAAGAGGTTTTACTGTTGAATTCTAAGGATCCTTCGGTTACGCCTTTCGTTGATGAGCTACAAAGCCGGATTTCGTGCCATTATCAAGCAACCAAAGCCCAGGTTTTTTCCAAAATTTTTTCTTTTTTTCATTGTTTAGTAGATTTTGTATTACAGGTTTTCGATTTAGGGTTTTTTTTTTCTGCTTTGTTTTTGCAATAATGAAATTCACTTGTTTCAACAAGGAAACGTTATGTATTCATTGGCTGGTGTTGTATTTATTTATTTATTTCCTCTAGGAGGGCGTTGTTGATGATTCCAACTGCATCATTCGAACTAGTTCCAAAAATTGGTCAGCAAGGTTTTCACTGCCTCAGAGTCAAGATGAGGAAGGTAAGGCAGAAGAGAAACAGGGTATTGAGAACCCGGATGGATCAAAGATTCTCCCATTTGAGTTTGTTGCATTGGAGGCATGCCTTGAAGCTGCTTGCAGCTGCTTAGATAATGAAGTGAGTATTCTTCCTCTCTGGTAGTTTGCCCTCAAACCTTTTTCACCATCATGTTGTTTTATTAGTGATCTGTTCTCTTTTAGTTATTGTTTTCTATTGGCAAAGCAGGCAAGGACATTGGAGCAAGAGGCTCATCCGGCCTTGGATAAATTGACTTCAAAGATTAGTACTCTCAATTTGGAGCGTGTTCGCCAAATTAAAAGCCGCTTGGTTGCAATAACCGGGCGTGTTCAAAAGGTTGAGTATTTTAAGTTTTTGAGTTATACATATATTCATTAGTTTTAATGTCAACTGTTTGACTAAAAAGCCTTCATTATGTCATGGATAGATACAAATCTTGGGTTCAGATGACTTTTAACCTTTTGTTTCTTTATTTATCTTCCATTTCTATTTTAAATAGTTCATAAATATGCTGATCTTCAGGTAAGGGATGAATTGGAACATTTGCTAGATGATGATGAAGATATGGCTGAGATGTATTTAACTGAGAAACAACAATTTGAAAATTCTTCAGCCTCTTCTATGAATGAGAGTGATGATATAAATGACGAAGTTCTCCAACCAGGCATCACTGACAGGTACTAAACGGTTTCACCACTCAATTTCATTAAAGATTCTCTTTTCTCCATTCCTTTGAATTGCAATCTTCTGCATCTCAGATTTGTCTCTGTATTATGTCAGGACACCTGTGGAAATCTCCTTGGCAAGCAATTATGAAGGTGATCTCCAAGACTCTGACAACCAACAGGATCATTTATTTAGCACTCATAATGCAATTGGCAGAGACAGTCATGGAACTCATACAAGTACTACTCACAGTGCTATGAGCAAGCACCTTGATGTAGAAGAGTTAGAAATGCTCTTGGAAGCATATTTTGTACAAATTGATGGCACACTGAACAAGCTATCCACGGTATGTCACTTGCGTTTTCCACTTGATGACTGTCTTCTCTTCTTCTCAGCTAATATTTTGGACATGGTTCAGTCTCATTCTTGAGGAACTTGATTCAATCTACTGATACAGCTTTAAGGCAGTAATCCTGGAATCATAGCTCAATTTACTTTATGGACTCATCACTTCACTCAAAGTGGATGATATTGATATGTGATCCATAAACCTTTCTTAGGAAATTAGTGGATGCAATAATGCAAGGGATATCCTGAATACTTCTAATATGGCTATTATATGAATCTTTTTATATTTTTTTCCCTTTACAGTTGAACTTCTTGCTTAATTGTCGAAAAAATAAAAATGCGAATATGAGCTCCTAAGGCTATCCCCCCTGGAGCTGTTTTGGAAAAGAACTCTTAAATTGCTTCTGACGTTCACTTTTCCTATTTTACTTGAGAAGAATTTTAACTTCATAATATATATATATATGACCCCATCTATACATTTCATTAGCATCTATTAGATCCCTTGTTGAGTAAAAGTATTTTCTTCCTTTATTGTTGGACTTTTTGCCTAATTGATGATAATGAAAAAATGTGAATATCAGAGCCTATAGGCTATATGCCCCTGGAGCTCTTCTGGAAGAGAACTCACGTTGCTTTCTGACTGCTACTTCTCTTATTTTATCTCGAAAAGAATTTGATCTTCACGCACGTGCATGCACGCACACCCACACACACATATTGTATGACCCCTTTTATACATTTCATTAGCATCTATTAGATCCATCATTATGCAAAAGTATATGCCATAATTTAAGCCTTCGACTGCAGTGTTGAGATTAACTTCTTGTATCAGTCACCGCTCTTGTGATGGTGGTTATTGACATTCTTCTTTATTTTGTTTATTCTTTCTTGGAAGCTGAGGGAATACGTGGATGACACAGAGGACTACATTAACATAATGCTGGACGACAAACAGAACCATCTCTTGCAGATGGGAGTCATGCTGACGACAGCAACCCTTGTAATCAGTGCTTTTATTGTTGTTGCTGGTATCTTTGGCATGAATATCCATATTGACATATTTGATGATGATAAAGCAGGGATGTCGGAATTTCTATGGACAGTTGGGGGTGGTACTACGGGGACAATATTCCTCTATGTGATTGCTATTGCCTGGTGTAAGTACAAGCGCTTGTTAGAGTAGTTAAGACTTCAGACCAAGCTGTATATCTTCTGAAGCGGTGGGTGATAACATGAAGGGAAGGTTTTATCCTGTAAACTTACTGAATATGCTTTTATGTTTTGCTTTGTTGTGGAGAAGACAACTGCGTAATTACAGTTATGTATTCTGTACATGGTGACTTTGATAAATCTCTTGAATGCTCTGTTAACGTTATGTAACTCTAATACATGGATTTGCGGCTGCGACATTTGCAGGCCACCTCTTCTTCTCTGTTTTCCTTTTCCCCTCCATCACTTGTTGTAACGAATGCATGCGGGCTGTGGCATGCGCGCTAGTTTGAAGTTCACATTTTATCTTATAAATAATTAGGGGGAGAAAATGCAAACCGATGACTTGAAAGAATGGTACATATCTTGGCATTTTAGCTATAAGATCAAGGGTCATATTTCCTCCTTCAGCTTGTTAAAATAATATTTTTTAAAAAAAGAGGAATAATGATTTTTTGAGGCAAGCAGCCAAGCGTGCGTGTGTGCGTGTGTGCGTGTGTGTATGTGTATGTGTTTGTATTAATTAATGTGAAAAATGATTTTATTTCTTCATTTGGGTTCTGACCTTTTTCATACTCCATCTAACAAAGGAGAAATATGTAATTTGAACCGAGCCTGACCTTGCAGATAAAATGGGCCAAAGGAAACCTCATCTTTATCTGCATGTTAATAAAACTTGTGGCTGCCTTTGTTGCTAGAGAGTCGAGCGAGTGACAGAGAACGGTGTAATGATTACCAATGAGTTCAATGGCGCAAAGCGTACTGATGGCACTGACTGTAACAGTCAACCAGTTTGCTTCTTCAAATGTGCATGCAGTGCATAGGAAACAAGGCAAATCCCCACCCCCCACTACTTCTAAACCAAAACCAAGTACCACGACGCCAATTACAGCAGGTGCAGCAACCAGTGACACCATAGATATGGGAAGGAGAGGTCTCATTTTATCCGCTGTGGCTTCTGCTCCTCAACTCAATGATTCCAGAACCGAGCTTCTGAAAAGTTGTCACCACTCACTGCCTTTCTTTCCCATTTTTGTTGCTGTGAAATTGTAGCCTTTGTCTTTGTCTTTCTTTCAGAGTTGATTTGGCATATTAAAGGAGGACTTATATTAACTGTAAACTTGGACAGAGTATCTGAAGAAATCAGAGGTAAACAAAGCCAAGAATGACAAAGAGGTAGGATTGGATAGCTGATTATTTTCACTATTGAAATGTTCAAATGAGCTTAATTCATGGCCATATGTATATATCTACTCTAACCATTTGTATTTGTATCTTTTTGCTGCTTAAACAAAAAGAGACAGGACAACTATTACAAGCGCAACTACAAGGATTACTTTGAATTCTTAGAAGGGACTCTGAAAGGGAAGAGCGAGGAGCAGCTGACAGAATCAGAGAAGGGTATTCTTGATTGGCTTAAAGCCAACAAATAAATGTACTCAAAGCTTTTTCCAACCTGTAATCAGCCTTTAACACCTACCTACCGGCTTTTGGAAATTTCGAGCTTTGAAAAGTAAGCTCTACTTACTGCAAATCCAATAAAGTGATTGAACATATTTTCTTCTATTTTTTTGATGGATTTTACTGCAAATCCAATAAAGTCATTGAACATATTTTCTTCTATTTTTCTGATGGATAATAATATAAGCCATATTTAAATGTTGTTTAGCACTTCTGCGTAGGGGCATGGGCCCTTTTAGCGCAACTGATAATTAAAATAAAGTGGGCTTAGCGTTTCCTATTGCCTCATATCTACAAAAGACTCTTCTGTAAATCATTGGCCCGCAAAGGAACCCTGAAAAACGGAAAGCAGATAGTTATAACGCTGCCGAGATTCGAACCTCGAGTCCAATCATGAGCGGAACAACCAATCTAAGTTGCTGCAGCAAGATGATGATAAAAACCCAAGCATAGACTCATTACTTCACCGAGCTAGGTTTACGATAGCATTTGCACGTTATATAACACTGTGTAAGAACATTAAATGAAAAAGGAGAGGCAAATCACAAATGCCAGAACAAAGTCACGAGTGATATTTCCTTTTTCTCTAAATTGATGCTGATATTTTGTCGAACTTCTTTGTCAAAATCTCATTAAAATAATTGGATTAATGAAAAGTGGACGAAGGAAAATTTTCTAAATTTTCTAATATGATATTAATGGTTTCTGTTGCATTTAAGTATATTGCGTAACATGGCATGAAATAATCCATTACATTTAAATTTAATTTGTACAAAGATTAATTATATTTAAATTTTTTAAAAAAATTATCTTTATATATCTAACACCTTTATAAAATACTGAATAGGAATATTGGTTTTTTCACATGAAGGTGAGTTGTTCTTCAATTAAGAGTATACAATTTACAAAGTATTATTCGTTTTGATTAATTGAAATGTTGAAAATAGTGTAAATCTTTAAATGCTTAATTTCACTCTAATACACAATTGATCTGAGATTTATAACTCTTTCTTTGAATTATAACATTCTAATTCTTTACTAGGACGATGACAATATATATAAGATTAATAACTTCCGGTTGGAACCATCACACTATGACTATAGCTATTGGCTTTGATTGAATTTTAATGTCGAAATTTAAATATATATATATATATATATAAAAAGATCACAGGCAATCGAAGACTCTAATTTAAGGCTCAAACGAGGGGAAAGATGAAGCAATTTTGTACCTAAAAAACCCAAAGCCGATGAATCCCTGAAATCCAACGACAAAAAACAAAAAGATTCTTAAGAAAAGAAAGAGTACTCCCTTTGTCGGAGAGAGCCCTCTCTCCGATGGAATCTTCTTTTCTCTTTTATTTCATTTTACAAATAACCGATTTTTTTTATAACTGATTTTAAATTTGGTTATTGATCGATGATTGACATTAATTTCTATTTATCTAATGGTTATTATTCAATGACCTTATAGTAAGATCAAATTGTATGACCTTATTATATAACCCACCTTCTTAAAATTACCGAAACACTGTCAAAACAAGGTCTACCGGAAGCACGCGATGACCAGCGCATTTAATGAGATCCCATCTTCGATTCCCACAAATAACAGCTTAAAGGATTCTAACACTGTCTTGGAGGCTTTGCATCGGCTACTACCTCTTGGCCTCTGTTATTTGTTGTTAATGCTATGTTAATTCTCTCTAATTTACTCTTAAATTTGTTGTTCGTCCGTATTGATTGATTATTATGGACGGAAGGTTTAATTTTTAAGATGTATATTTTCATTATTTGTTGTATGATTTGTTGCAACATAATATCTAGTATTATATTTTAAGAATGAAGGTCAAATTTTTTACTATATTATGAGTTAGCATTGAATTTTTCGTTATACTTAGATTTTATTAAATTTAATAATGATACTCACAATTTTCTTTTTATCTTTGAACAAATAATAAGATAAATCAACGAAATATATCATATACATTAACGAAATATTCTGTGAAAATTTTTAATTTTCTACCTTTTTATTCAAAAATAAAAAATAAAAATATATGATAAATATCAATAAATTGAAATAAAAAGACTAAATATTCAATCATAGTATAAAAACAAATTTTATCTTAATCCTTATATTTTATCTTTTTTGAAACAATGAAGCTTTTCTTTTTCTTTCTTAACACTAGGCCTTCGGCTTTATAGGCTTTCTATTTTAGTCATCGGCTTTTGGCTATGTATTGAACCTGCACACGCTCTTCCTTCTTATCTAAGAAGGAAGAATTGAACCTGGATTCCAGATTAAACCAACGAATGTCCCTATGTTACGCAAAACCCCAAAGTCTTTAATTAAGCACAAATTAAAAAAAAGCAAATAAGACTATTTCATAGCATAAAAATTGATTATTTTCATACTTTTTTTGACTTATACATTCTCAACAGACGTAAATCATAAATAAAATAACAAGATTACAAAAGTTTCACTCTGAAAAGACACTTGTAAGAAACAATATAAAGGGATTATAAAACTATTAACCACGAAATATTTTCAACTTGGTGATGTTAAAGAGTTAAGATAGTCAAGAAATTTGAAAGCTGATGATTTTGGCAACATTGTGTGGTAAGACAGCAATATAGGAGTAGTGCTTTTCCTCTGCTGTCCTCCCCTATCCTACATGTTCAGTTTAAGAAAGTAGATGGATAACCACTTGACTAAGTTTAATTCTGATGGAGGTTGGTTTCTGCCAAGGTCAATATAACCAAAGATGATGCCAGCTTAAGTAATTGACTAATTGGAATTGAATATGGATGTACGGACGACTGTCAATTGGAGCACGTTTCCCTTGGCATGAAAGTATACATATATTTATTTTAAAGGACGTCCATAATTCTTTCATTTTCAGTACAGGAGAAATCACGTGCAGCCTGAACCAGATTTGCAAACAGCAAAAGGAGAAAAAAAAAATTATCACTAGTGCATGCATTCTAGAGGTATAGATTGTGGTGGCGGAGGGATGATAGTGCTCATGTTCACTGATTCGTAACACATGCATGTCTATGACATAGCCGATAAGGGACAAGCAGAGTGCTGTCCTGGAAAACAGGAACAGGACTTGTTAAAACAGCAATGGAGACAGGAACAGAAATTAGATAAGTATAAGAAACAACACAACGGCTGCATTCCCCATTGTATGTTGGTGGGGATTGAAGGTTTTGTTTTGGTGGTGGTTGGAAGAACAATAGATGTTTTTCCCATACTTACTTAGATCCTTATCCAATATGTGGAATGCAACGAGGCAAAGACTCTAGCATCAGTGTTATATAAATATGTGTATATATAAATATAAATTGTTCTCGTTGATTTGTCTTTAGCTTTGCTTCGTCTTTCTTTGTAATTTGTTGACGAAATTGAGACCTCCCAATGCTGAAGATTAAAATATATGAAAATATATAGCACATGTGGGTATAGATCAGAAACTTTTGACATCCTAAATTCCACAAGTGCTATCTTTTCTTTATCTCTTTCAACATTTTCAACAGAAACCAAATTATATAATCTTAGAAGGAACTGACTGGGAATAGTTAGATGAATAAAGAAATCAGATGGAGAGACGTATAATTGTGAGTGACATCAAGTTCAATGACAGCTGCAAAGCAGACAGGGTTGGAGGGAGCAAAGCGGCATTAATAAATCATACAAGAAATATTATAAAAATAAGGGCCTTCCAAAATGAGATAAAGAGTAAAATTATTAAATTATAATGGGGCATGTTCCTTCGGGTTAGGAAGATCACAGGCAGGATCTTCCACGCTTAAAAAAGGGTCATGGAGACGCATATGAAATATTCCAACATTAGCTTTTGTCATTTCCTTCGTCTCTGAGTTCTGATATGAATGCCCATCGCCCATTACATTTTCCACCATCTTGTCTCATTCTCTTGTGCATGTTTAGGCCTAAATTTCTGATCATAATGAGAAATGGAACTATCAGGGTGGATGGAACCTTGTCTGGACACTTAGAGACATGGGGGTCTTGTCCTTACTGATGGCCAAGCCCTTGCCACGATTTGATTCTACTAGTCACACAGAGAAAGATCAGCTAGCTTTTCAATTTTTGATTTTGAAGAAATCCCACCTAATCAAATCTCAGTATCTCATCTTTATTTGATCATATTCTATATCAGTAGCTACCAAAGTTAGGTGGATGACACATCCATTTGTCCTGTTTTGTTGAAAAGAATAGCGTTAGAGAGTAAGTACAATACCATTAAAAATGTCACACTAGTTTACTTGCTGAAAAGTGTCCTCGGTGCTTAAGTTAATAAAATGATCTCGCTTGAGGTTCACATTTTACCAAACAAACAAAAGAGTATAGCTAAATCTATGAATGATCTACCTCCGCCTGCACATGCATGCAACAGCCGACACGGCTTGGTTTTTCTTGATCTCTTATCCTGTATTATGGCTTGCAATTCTGGGATAGGAAGTAGTTTTCCGCATGGTCCAAAAGATTAGCAGGAAGCATAATTAATTTATTATAACAAGCATCAGACTTAACCAAGGCTATGATGGGGACAAAACGAGAGGAATGTCAAAAGAATAGGAAGCATAATGAAGCATGTGATAAAGCTTTCTACTTCCATTGCAGTGTGAACATCCATATTTAAAGCAAGGACATATATATATATGTGTGTGTATATGTATGTTTGTACCTTTTTCAAGTAGGTTCCCGTATAACTTCTTACTACTCGTTTTGCTTTACTGAAGTCCGAATCGTAAAGCTACATGACTTCTGACTGATTGGTGGCAGCCAATTTATTTATATTGGAGTATTTTGTATATTTTAGTTGAATTTAACTGATGAACTGCAAGTTGAGATATAAAGAGAGAGCATGGGGCTCCATCAAAAACAAATTAAGACTGAACATAATTACGTAGAGGCCGCCTAAAGGCTCAGCTGGTTTGTACCCACTGTTCCTTTACAGGAAAATTAATTTTTGAAAACAACTACTTTTATTTCCAACTTTGGCTCTCTGGTCGTTCCCCATTGCATTGGCCGGGTACAAGGAAACTTGGAATTGGAAATGAAACGAAACAAAATAAAACGAACAAGATCCCCCTTTAAGATCTGATTCTTTTTTCACTTTGGCAACCCTTTCTTCCATTTCCTTCTTAGAGCCACAGCAGCAAGAGCAGGCTGATGGGAAACCACCTTATCTCATCTCCGACTCCATTTTCTTTCCTTAATACCAGTACCTGTCAATTTTGAAACTTCCAATGAGGTTACAGTTCAAACAATACTGAAAAAAATAATTGCTGAATGCTTAAAACAGTATTGTGATTCTGAAATATGGTGCATTGTTAGAAAAATAAAGCCAAAAAGACCAATTGGAAGTTACTTAACTGGTTATTTCGTAGCTGGCTTCCAGATGGAGAAGACTGCAAAAAACCAAAGTGGTCTTGGAATGCAGATCCTCCCTGCTACAATTCAATGGTTAGTAACATTTTTCAACCAACAACTGGAACAAATAAGTTAATGCTGAAGGAAAGACCTAGAACTGAAAAATAAGTTTGGGCAACTACCTGAAAGTGTGATGCGGAGAACCCCTGGGGATAATCAAAGACACTCTCCTTCGAAGCTTGATTATTTGTGAGAGCAAAATTGTTCTAGAAAATTGTCAAGAACCAATAATTAATTAATGGATTATCGATAAAAGAATGATTGAGAGAAGATAATTTTAGAATTCTTTCGATCTCACATTGTGTGGTATAATACATATATATATATATATATATATATATATATCTGTGTGTGTACCTTGGAGAAATTGATGAGAGGAGAGCTGGCAGTATCATCAAGAAAAGAAGGCAGTTCTTGATCTTTCCGGCGTCGTCGATGTTCCTCGTTTCTGTGTCCTTTGCTGTCCTGGTTATTCAGTGTAGCACCTTTGGTTGCGGAATATTGATATCGGCTATCATCATTGAAGTAACCATTATCTTCATTGAAATGTGGAGGCCCAGAAGATGCATCAGAAACCATGGACAGGTCTTCTTCTTCATCTTCAACATCCTCTTCTTTAACTCTATTCTCTCTATGTTCATCACAAAAATCACTCTTTCTATCTTTATGTGAAGGATTTGCAGAAAGAAAAGATTGTTCTAAGTAAAGAGTCCAACCAGACTCACAGCCACTTCTACATTCTGATGAAGCCAACACATTCATTTTTCTTTTTTTTTTCTTTTTCCTTTCCTTCTCCTCTTAAGTTTCTCTCAAAAGAAACCCCTCTTCAATGCGTTGTTTCCCTCTATCGCTGGCCCCTTCTTATCAAGAAGAGAACCCCCTCCCAAAGAAAAAAAGGGCTGGTAATAGTAACTCTTTAGATGGTGAGGTGATATGTGTCCATATATTTGGTGATGATCAAAAGGGAGTAGAAAAGACCAAGAAAATCAGACTGGAATCCTAGCCTAGTTTTGTCCTCATCCTCTCCATTCGGCTCTCAAGGTGAATGAATCAAAAAGTGCCAGTTGGGGGGGGTTATAGTGGGTGCAATGTAAGAAAGAGAGAAGAGAGAGAGAGAAGGGAAAGCCACAACCCGTTCACATGCTAGACAGCGGGGCACTGCGTACCCTCTTAACAAAACCGTGCACACGTCCATTTTCCCTTCCTCAGTATATGGACACCTATCCCTTGGCCAGTAATATAGTCTCAATCCCTTCTTCTCTCTTTCCATTCTTTTCTTTGTATATATCGCTCTCACTGTCTCACACATTCACATTTATCTCTATATCTATTATTCCAAGCGTTTTATGGTTTTCACTTTCTTGGTGAGATATGACACACTAGCCTTGACCCTCATCAGCTAGGCTTTGTTTTTTAGACGGGGCAATCGTTTCTTAAGCAAAATGTGGTCCTTTGAAGATGCATACATGTACTTTGTGCAGTTAATTTTAGCTGGGGTACTGTACAAATTTTTTTTCAAGAAATAATGCAACTCCTGGAGACAGAAAGTACTAACTGTATATCATTCCTTTTCTTTCTTTTTCTCGCTTTTAATTCTTTCCATGTGTAGTGTTTAGTCAATTTTAGTTGGGTGAAGAAAAATAAAAAAAGGAAAGATAAAATAATAAAAAAGGGTCATATCTTATAGAATCATATAGATGATACTCCAAAACTTTGATACTAGCTAGTATATCTTTAGGCCATCCCCTTGCTTCTGATAATGCAGCTAGCACAAAGATCAGCTGCCTTTTATATAACTCTTGTTAAATGTTTAAGAGACCTGTTGCAAAGAAAATCTAGGCAATAAGCATGGATGCACAAATTGGGAGACTACATAAATTTCTTGGGACAAGAGGTGGGGTACTATACCCAGCCAGCAGTTGACTTTAGGTTTTTATGCATCAATATGCCATACACTTACCCTATATCTCACCTTTCCAAAACACTAAATAAGACTAAAATTAACCCTACCTCTTCTCCCTCAACTCCCTGATCTATTCCTAAGAAATCACGCACACATGTGGGCATGTTGTGTGTTTGTATGCATACGCGGGCTTCCACATATGCCTTTCTCCACCTTTTTTCTAACATCTAGAGCTTCCACATATTCACACACGTGTTTGCACGTGTACACGAACTTCAACCTAAATTGCTCTTTTTAATCTTCATTTATAATTGTCACTTGGGATCTTTGGGTACTGGTTCCAATGCTTTAGTTTTTCTCCACTGCTTTCTTTGTTACTTACTTGATTAATATTGTACTAGGGATTTTAATTTATTATAAACTTTTGAATGCTCCTATTGCCTTTCACTTTTATGCTTTGCCGCGGACAATATATGACATTTCTCAATCAAAAACGATTGTCATCATCTACATGCTGCATGCTATCCCTTTCTTTCCGAACTTGAGTTATCTCAGTGTATGGAATGGATAAGATATTTTCATTAATGTCCTCTCAATCATCTAATCTAAAATGGTAATTAACCAATTAATCTTACTGTCTCTTCATTAAAACTATGTGTTTAAAATGGATAATATGATACTAACTCTCGAGAGATGGCTTAATACTGTCGTCTGAAACCCTACGCCATTTTGAACTCTTCACATGTAATTGTCAAGTAAAGGCGAAACATCGCACTATTGCTCCACATAAATGATAAGTATTAATCAATGGTGTCATTAAGCGTGATCAATGCTGATCTTTCAATTCTTCCAGGACAGTTTTACTGTGTACTGGCCTAAGGAGAAGGGCAACAGCTTATGGTGACAAGATTTCCTACTAAGTACAGAAAAAGACTGGAGAGGAGACCGTCAAGCCTAGCTAAAAGGTTAGAAAATTCACTAGAAATCTAGTACTTGGCTAGAGAGACAACATGGTTCACCAAGGAAAATCGAGGTTAAAACTTTCAAAATCCATATGCAATATGTTTCCCCCTCTTAGATCACTCATTATTTAATAATCCCATTTCAAAGAATAAGAATTCGAGTTGGTTTGACTCTCCAAAGGGTTGCCGTCAATAAGTTTTCTTCAGGCCTGATGGATGAAAAATTTCCCTAGTGGTGTTTCCACCCATGCGCATTCTCTCTC